GTTTAGGGTTTAGGGTTGGGGAACTTGGCTATAAACAGAACCTCGGCTGAGCAGTGCTGGCTTCCGAGCAAAGAGCGTCTGCCTACTCGGGGCATCGCCCGACCCTGCGAGGAGAAAAGACATGAAAAGACAAGAGACGAACCAAACGCATGGTATAAACATAATATAAATATACAAGATATATAAGATAACATAAGAAACACATATAATATAAATATATATATATATATATAATAGATATATAAGATAAGATAATATAATAACAGAGTCCTATAAGATACTATTCCTTCAAAAACCGAGGTGTTCTCGGAAGCCGCGGGGCCGTGTCCGGGCTTTCCGGCACTTCCCCAAGCCGACAGGAGCTCCCCTGGGGCTTTGCGCAGTAAGTCCTTTCGTCCCGAGGGTTTAGGGTTTAGGGTTTGGGGATTAGGGTTTTAGGGTTTAGGGTTTATAGGGTATAGGGTTTTAGGGTTTTAGGGTTTAGGGTTTAGGGTTTAGGGTTTAGGGTTTAGGGTTTACTCCCCTGAGGCTTTGCGCAGTAAGTCCTCTTGTCCCCGCCCGTGTTGCTACGGGGGCTCTTGGCGCCCTCCAAGCCCACACAGCGGCAGCTGTCGGATTTCAGCTTCAAGGTGTAGTCGAAGGCGACGCCACCGGCTGTGAAGCATGCCTCCGCGCACTCTTTCTCGCTGTTCAACTCGCGGAGAAAGAGGTAAGGGCCATAAGGCTGCGTCTGCCCTGCAGAGCAGGCACGTGGGATGTCTTGCTGCTGCGTCTGCTCTTGCTGCTGCGTCTGCTCGCCCAGATTCGTTGTTGCAGCCGTGTTCTCGATCTGCAGCAGCGACACTCTCTGAGCTTCTGGGAAGGAACAGTACTGCCTGGTGAGATGCCCCACGACCGGAGCCTGATTCTTGTGATAGAAGCATCGGCAAGAGCTTTCACTCTCCTCTGAATCGACCTGGAAGGCCACGAGGCTTGGGTCAGAAGCTGCGGCGTAGCAGGCTCCAGCGCAGAGCTTCTCGTCAGTCCAGCTCGTTTCGAAGAGAAGATCTTCCGCAAGCACATCTGGAGCCTCTCCAGCTGCGCAGCTTGCAGAAGGTGCGGGCCGAGCGCAGTAGCGTCTCTTCTTGCCTCTGCCCGGATCGTCCGACGGGTTCTGTGCGCCCTCGGTGCCCACGCAGCGACAGCTGTCGCGGGTGTTGGCGAAGGCGATATCAAAAGCCACACCTCCGCTGGCAAAGCAGGCTGCAGCACATGACATCTCGGCTGCGTCGGTCCTTCCCATCTTCCTCCTGAGTCAACTGAGCATTTTGGGGCTCTTGTATAACAATATATATATATATATATATATATATGTATATTATTATTATTATTATTATTATTATTATTATTATTTTTATATTATATATATATATGTTACCTCCAAAAACCGGAAAGCCGGTACCGACAAGTATAGTTTTCTGAGTTGAGGCTCTGGAAGAGGAAAGGGCCCCCAGCCTGCAGCTGGCCATCGGCGCAGACGCGCGGGACGTCGTAGTCCTCGCTCTCCAGGACCTTCACGCAGACGTAGCCTCGCTGCTCTTCTTGCGCTTTGTTTAGGGTTTAGGGTTTAGGGTTTAGGGTGTAGGGTTTAGGGTTTAGAGTTTAGGGTGTAGGGTTTAGGGTTTAGGGCTTAGGGTTCTGTGGGGCAGGGGGTCCAGGGAACGCTAACTTGCAGGCATCTGTGTTGCGGCAAGACAAGTTGAGAAACTCCAATTTTCCTAGGGTCCTGCTCCCCAGCAGGTCATTGGCGATCTTTGCTCTGTGGCGGGATAGTAACGGAGAATTTCTATCTGAAGGGCACTGTCGTCAACTTCGTGCAGAATGGTGATCTTGATTGTGGACACATGCAAACAAAACCCAAGCCCTGCCAAGACAATTTCCAACAAAAATGCACATGAACTACTGCATGCTTAGGACAAACTGATGGAATGCTGGCGCAAGTACTGCGGTTCATTTTCCTTTGGGATCTTTCTGTGAAAGCGAACAGGGCATGCTGCTTCGTGTGCAGAACACGCACTGAGATAGGCTTCTGTACTGTGAGCACAGTCTCAGCTTTTCAAAACTCCAGCGAACCAGCACCATCGACAGATTAAGCAACGTCTGCATTTCCCCTACTCGTGAACCTCTTGGGAACCTGGCTGGGCCTTCGTTCCTTTCTCCCTCCCTCTATCCTCTGCTACTCCTATTCAGATACTTGTCTTCACCTCCGGCCCACTTCCCCACTCCCCAAAACACACAGAAACTCTACCGACAGACTTGCCTTGTGGCCCTGAACCCTGAGCCCTAAACCCGAAACCCCAGACCCTAAACCCTAAACCCTTTTTCCTTGACTTCGTTGTTGTATGGACCCGGAGCATCTTCCTTTGCTCATTGTCTACACGGCTCTTTTTTGATTGGGATCTAGAAGATATAAAGTATGTTACATTAGATTCATTAGATGAAAGTATCTGATAATGTAATATGATAGTAGCAAATATATTACAATACGTTCTGAATCAAAATGGCAAAAATATAACACAATATGTATTATATCACATTACAAATACATTGTAACATATTACATCATACTATTCGAATACATACAGATTCAAATCTTACAGGATTCAGTCATATTTCATCATACCACACTATGATATATCTTAGATTGTATAAGGGAAGCCCAGTTGCCCAAGCTGCTTGTCTGGCCAACGAAAGACTCGTTGCTCTCCAGGTAAGGGTTGAACTTGAGGAGCGTGTCTCCATAGCAACCTCGAGGGCTCCCAAACGTAACGACAGCACAAGATACCGCGAGATCCTACGCGAATCATTATAGCCCCCCCCCCCCCCCATAATTCCAAGCCTTCTAGGACCCTAGATTCTCGGAATTCTTATAACGGAGTCCTAGTCATTTTCCTACTCGCTTCCCTCCCGACCTGCTGGGAGGGTCGGGTTCGACGAAGGCTCGCTGTCGCATCGTGGAGTGTTGGCCTCCTGGAAAGGCAGCTCGAGCTTAGGAGACAAGGGATTTTCCGGGGTTTCCGGTGTCCGGATGTCTTAGGCTCAGTGGCCCCTCCCTTTTTGGGGCCAGGCTGTCTGAATCCCACACGCACACGTCATGAGCAAAAACCGATCCTGCGCTAAACGTGTCTGCAATTGCATGCTCTCTCTGCTCCTTGCCCCTGCACGTTAGGCCCAAGGCGTTGGCAGCCCTGGCGCACTGCTCCGGATCCTGCACGATGCTCCAGCCCTGTTCCTCGCGTTCTTCATGCTCAGCAGAATAACACTTGCAATTGTGAATCACCACATTTGGACAAAAAGCTGACTGCGGAGAAGTTGCCACGCATGAAGATCCATTGGCAAATTGCTTGAAGGTCTCCCTTGCGGTTCGGTAGCACACCTGTCCCCACATCCAGAGATGAGACGTTGACTTGCTCCAGCCCCAACATTGAAACTCAACACGTGGAGTTAAAAGGCTGAAACGAACAGGTGATGGATATTCTAAACAACTGCTTTCAACTACTTTGCGGAGAGACACACATACACATGCAGGCGCGTGGTAAGACATATACATGTACATGTACAGACAGACAGACAGACATACATACATACGTATATATAGATACATGTATGTAAGATGTATTCATGCACGTGTGTATGTATGTATGTATGTATGTATGTATGTATGTATGTATGTATGTATGTATGCATGTACGTAGGTACATAAATAGACAAGCCAATACATACATACATATGTATATATATATATATATAGATATACATATATATGTATACATTGATATATATATATATATGTGCACATTACACACACACACACACTTTGCAGATGCTAATAATAACATTGCAAAGCTTAGCAAGCAACGCAGGGCAGCAGAAGGTGTTGTGTACATGCAGACATCATCAACTTGTATCATAACGCTTTAATGAACACATCAATAAGAAGCCAGCAAGTACATGTACACACATACAGACACACGTATTTTCCACATGAGGCTCGCACAGATACAAGCATTGATGTCAACTGATAAAAAGACTGCGGCTGATGTGATGACTAGTGTTTTTGACACTGCTGTGACTTTTGGTATCACCGTTGCCAGTCTTGTCATCATCCATGTTCTTGTTTCAGACCCCAGACGTTGCGGCGCCTGGCTAAAGCCGTCCCCAGCAGGAGCGCCGGTGGACCGGAAGTTCCATTGCAGGCCATCTGTCAGCGGGGCTTTTTCGGCTCAGGGTTTAAGGGAGGCTTCAGGGCGGGGTTCCGCGACTCCGGCCGGCAGAACGTCTGGGTCAGAGGAGTGGCCTCGGTTTAGGGTTTAGGGTTTAGGGTTTAGGGTTTAGGGTTTAGGGTTTAGGGTTTAGGGTCAGAGGAGTGGCCTTCCTGGCTGCCGATGCAACCCACAGGATTGACGCCACCGCCATCGATCGCCTGGCAATCGTTCCTGCACGGCCAGCCTGAGAACGGGAAACACAAAACGCACTGGGCTCACAAGAAAGCATACAGCCATCTTGAATTACCAGCAAAGCAGCCCACGAATCTCGCTGCTCTTGCACATTGAGTAGCAGTCGACACCTGGGCCGGCAGTTGGGAGCTCAAACCCTTGTCCCTCCTCTTCGACTCACCACTGTGCCCATGTTCAGCTTCCTAAGAAGCCCTAAACCCTAAACCCAAACCCCCTACACCCTAAACCCCTAAACCCTAAACCCTAAACCCCTGAACCCTAAACCCCTGAAACCCTAAACCCCTAAACCCCCTAAACCCCTAATCCCCCTAAACCCCCTAAAACCCCTAAACCCCTAAACCCTACACCCTAAACCCCTTAACCCTAAACCCTAAACCCCTAAGCCCTAAACCCCTAAACCTGAAACCCTAAACCCTAAACCGAAAACACGGTCTGCCCGAGCGGCGGTGCTCCATCCGAAGTCTTCGCATCGACCCGAGTCGAAGACCTGGAAGATCCTTGGAAATTCACGACGCCTGGGGTAATATATAGGGTTTAGGGTTTAGGGTTTAGGGTTTAGGGTTTAGGGTTTAGGGTTTGGGGCCTAAAGAATCACCGATAACTACTATGTTTTGAGGGTTCGATAGATCCTAATCTTAATCTAACATAGGGGGCCTGAATAATCTATACTATTTTTGGCCAGTCCTGTGGAATTACGGAACATGAGGGTTCGGCCTATTTTAGGGGCATCAATAATTACCTCTACGATTGGCTCCTTATTATTTTATCAGAGGCATGACCGTAGCGTAGGGGCCTAAATAATCACCTTTAAGTACCATTTTTGTCGGCTCCTTATTATAACCATTGTGTAGTGGGCCTGAAAACCCCCATTCTAATGATAAAGGCCACTATCATAAGCAGCCAGCAAAAACGAGACCCCCCCCCAAAATAAAAAAAAAAAACAAGTTGAAGCACTGAACCCTGACTCAAGTCCTAAACCCTAGCCCTAGACCCTAAACCCTAAACCCTAAACCCTCCGACGGGCCAAGCATCTCTTGGGCCCTGGTGCAGTAGCGGCGGCCCAAGGTTCCAGGGTCCACGAGCGCCTCTCCTGGACGGCCGAGCGGAAGCAGGATGAACTTAGAGCCTGCCAGGGCCTAGGCCTATGGTTTAGGGGTTTTTGTTTAATGCAATAGCCCTTTCTCCCGCATGAGGTTTAGGGTTTAGGGTTTAGGGCATTTTTTGCTTTGGAGTTTCTAGGATAAATGCTCTTTCAGGTTCTTAGTTAGGTCTAGGCCTATGCATTTGTTGCTTTGAGGCTTCTATAAAATGATCTAGGGCTCTTCGTTAGGTCTAGGCCTATGCATTTGTTGCTTTGAGGCTTGTATAAAATGATCTAGGGCTCTTCGTTAGGTTTAGGCCTATGCATGTTTTGCTCTGAGGCTTCTATAAAATGCTCTAGGGCTCTTCGTTAGGTTTAGGCCTATGCACTTTTTGCTTTGAGGCTTCTATGATAAATGCTCTAGGGCTCTTCGTTAGGTCTAGGCCTATGCATTTTTTGCTTTGGGGCTTCTACAAAATGCCTTATAAGGCTTCTTCTTCATCACCCTGGTGGTTCAGGGAACAGTAGCTCACTCCTGGGCTTGGGGTTCGGCTTAGACCCTGACCCTGTGTAGGGGAAGCGCGAACCATCTGGGTCCCTCATGCGCGGCTTCAAAAAGAGCTTGCCTCCAATCATGCAAGCACGACCCGAGTATCTGAAACGCGATGTCATGTCATGCTACAAACAAAGTGCCCTGAGAGCCCAATACCCGTCATCTAAGCAACACAACTCCAGTTCCGATAACCATCCACACATAGGTTCGGATGCATTGGTATTACAGTACATTACATTGCGTTCTGTTTTGACTGTATCATATTATACTTTCTTATATGTAGTTTTGTATGATGCTTGACAGTTTTCAATTAGTATGAGTAATACACTATGACATTTTTTTATGCCTGTATCAGTATATGCTTTCCGATATTTAGTCATGTATAATGCTTCAGAGTTATCAAAAAGATGTGAGAAAAATCTTGTTTTCACAGTATTCATAAAATATAGTTACACTGGTACTACAACTACTCGGACTATTATATTGCTATTACTATCACTGCTGTTACTATGAGGAGAAAGTAGTTTGTTTGATATTTCTTGTGGTTGTTCGCAATCTGATTGTTGCTGTCAACATCGTTTTTCGTTCTTTCTATTATATGGAAGAATTCTGGGATGATCTGCTGTTGTATCATGTAATAGATCGTATTATGTTCTGCTCTGCTATGTCGTTTTGTTTTCTATGTTCAGAAAACCTCGTTTTATGCAAGCAGCAATTCACTCCGAAAATGTGCTGCACATGCTACCGCTAATTCTATAATAAAGCTATATAAAGCTCCTTCTAATTTCACGGATTTCGTCGGCCGTGACTGACCTTCCGTCCTGCAGATTCCTGAAGGTTTCCTGTGTTGTCTTGTCAACTGTTCCAGTTTCAGGGGTCTTCTAACTGGAACGTCGAAGTCCTCCAAACTGGGGCTTAGAGTCGGGAGGTTCGGGGGTACTGATGTCCATAACATCTTGAATCTTTCGTATGTCGAAACTGTACGCTGCAACATAGCTCAGCAATATGAAGCCCGGCTTTGCCACATAGGCTCCGTTGCCCACGCAGCGGCAACTGTCTTTGCTCGGCGTCAGCGTGAAGTCGAAGGCGTAGCCACCGGCGCCGAAGCCTTTCTTAAAAGGTCGAGGTCCAAGATTTGATAAAGCTTACAAGATGAGCTCATTCTCCGTGGGGTGGACCTGCACCACTGCCCCTGACCTAAGACCTACAACCGAAAAGAGACTCGCTGTGGAGATCCGACGTGCGGTTGACGCCTAGCTGCCCTCGCTATCTTAATGCTGCAGTTCTACCACCATGACCTGAGCCGATGCTTTTCTCCTTTTATCCTTGCTACTGAAACATGGCCAAAGACACAGGCGCCGGCACATGCAGCCTCGGTAAGGTAGCTCCTCTCAAAGATGTAGGGCGGCTCCTCCGTGGCTGTTGCTTAAACCCGGGGGGAGTTGCGACAGCATTCTACTTGCGGGGTTTGAGGGTTTTGGGAGTGGTCAGACAGAGCTTCGGCTCACCTTCGGTATCGAAATTACGCCTCAAGAAACGAAGCATGGGACATGTGACTTCTCGAATCTCCTTTTAAGCTCTTTCTTCAGTTTCTTTGGCAGATTGGAATATCATGCTTCTGGAAATCAGTGTGTCAGAACAGACAGACCCCAGCCCTAGTAACCATTAATATGTGTCTACCATCAATGTAGGATCTATGTAGATAGTCTGCTCTGGTCTGCGTGAGCTTTGCTCTTGCCTTTCGCAAAGTCTATCCCAAATGCAGCCTAGCTTCAGCTTGCCCAGCGATGCCTCAGGTGCAAGCTCCAACTGCTCCAGGCGGAGTTCACTGATTCACAATGGTTTGGAAGGCTGTTTCTTGCCGCTAGCCGCAGTTCGTTCATACACCGGGAATCCCGTGCCCTGTGTAGCTAAGAACTACTCCCTGAAAATTTAATATGTGAAAAAGTACATTGATATTGCGCGGGCTCGCCCGGCAAAGCGTGAAGAGAAAACTGCCAGTCAGCACAGCCGAGACACACTCGACGGATTGGGCACGCCGCGTGCAGAAGCTGGATGTCCTTAACTTGTCGCAACGGATGCTTGAAACGAGATGCTTCCCGACTGGTTGTGCAAACTTCAACTTGCCGCGATAGCTTGGACGAAGTCCAACAAAAAAACGTCTCGAACGCTTCAAGCACCTAGAAAGGACAGCAGCATAACGTGCATATGCTCATGCTTCATCGCAAGACATGTGCCAATCAACAGGAATGCCGTAAACCTGGACATATCATCCTGACAAGCTATTGCACGTACAAAACATCTATAGCTTGTAGGTCAGATACATGTCGACGTATGTAGTCGGCAGCTTTATACTTCACAGATGACCAAACAAGCATTCGCAGGGTCGTGGTTCATACATGCTCGATATGAACACGCCACGTCGACGTTGTAAAAATTCTACCGTCATCGTTTCTTCTTGGTTTACAAAAAAGCCACTGCAGCCAGTACTTCAGCCTGTGCGAGCGCGACTGCAACTCCTCAGCCCTATCCTCCGAGCGTCGCAGACTCCTGGGGCACCTCGGCATCGCGGGAACAGCGACAGGTGCCATCTGCGCTGAAGTCCAGGGCAAGGCCCCGCAGATCTCCTTTTGGGACGGATGGGTCACTGTCAGGGCGGTGGTGATGAGGGTCGTCGAAGTAACAGCCAAAAGTTGTAGCAGTGGTGGTGGCAATAGCAGTAGCTGCAGCAGTCGCAGTGGTAGTGCTGGTGGCAGTGGTGGTAGTACTAGTAGTACTAGTAGTAGTAGTAGTAGTAGTAGTAGTAGTAGCAGTAGTAGCAGGAGTAGCAGTAGTAGTAGTAGTAGTAGTAGTAGTAGTAGGAGTAGCAGTAGCAGTAGCAGCAGCAGTAGCAGTAGCAGTAGTAGTAGCAGCAGGAGTAGTAGTCGTAGTCGTAGTCGTAGT